ATTATAATAATATTCAATAATGTATAATATTAAGAGTTACTTAGTAAAAATTTAATTTTGAAAGTTATTTGAGAACACTGAAATCTAGAATGTTAAAATTTAAAATATGATTTACAATGCTAATAATAATGATCAAACTCTGCTCCAAGAAAGAATAAATATAAAAGCAAATTCTCATTAACTTTTTTTTAATTTTTCTCTTCTCTCTAATACGTGCCATCACCCAAAGATTATAAATTAAATATTTTCATATTATAGACTTTTTTCGTCTTTTTTCTTTCAACTTTTGCCTTAAACCATCATCCAAATTATATATTTCCATCTTATAGACTTTTTTTCGTTTTTTTGCCTTAAACAATCACTAATATAAATTAATATTTTTATTTCTAACTTTTTATTATTTGTCATCTAAAAACTACAGCCAAATACTTTAATATCGGCAACTTATAATTAATATTTTATCATACAGTCAATATAAAAAATGAACCAGGTACGAACCAAAAAAGCAAAAAAAGCAACTCAAAAAATTGTATTATGAAAACATATCGCATATAAAAGTTCTAGCCAAATACAAAAAGAATTTGCACAACCATGAACATATCATACTTCGCAAGATATTAGAAGCCAAACTTCATTGAACTCAGTAAATAATGAGGATTATAGTGACCAAAACCTACAAGAAAATTTTTTAGAAAAAAGTCAGCATGTTAATAGTGATTTTGAATGCAACTTTTCTATGGCTTCAGATATGTTGAGTAGCGAATTGGATACTTTAAATAGCACATCAGATATGGATACATTAAGTAGCACATCAGATTCTTTGAGTAGCTGTAACTAGTCAACAATTATAGAAGAAATAGAACTACAATCAAAAGTAAGAACAGAATCTACACAAACTATAGTAGATAGTGGAATTGATTTTCAGGCACTGCCTAGAGAGTATGGCCCATATTTTAAAAACTTCACGGAGATGTCATTTTTTACTTGGGTCACTAAGCATATGATCAGTATGTATTAATTAGAGAT